GGTCATTCCAGAACTTTAAAAAGTTAATTATTCTTGTCGTATGAGTAATAATTTTGATGTTCCTAGTAGCTTAACAGCCTGTAGGGATGCCACCCTCCAGGTGGGACCTTGGGATTCCCCCGGAATCACAGCTCATCTCCAGACTACAGAGATCAGTTCCCCTGGAGAAAGACAGATGCTTTGGAGAGGGTAGACTCTAGTACAGGGGTGTCAAACATACGGCCCGGGGGCTGGATGGGGCCCCCAGAGGGCTCCTATCAGGCTTGCAGTGGAACTGGCTGTATTCTGTTTCTTCTTCCAGTTCTGCTACTGCTGCTGCGTCATCGTAGGTTTGCGGCTTACAGATACACACCTGAACAGCAGACTCAAGACTGCAACAGCACAGACATTTTGATGCGATAATTCAGCGCGAGAGGTGTCAGTCACCAGACACTGTTCAATGAACAAGATATTGCAAGAGTGCTCATGTTTTAAGCATGTTTTAAAGTAAAAAAAAAAAACACCTTTGTGTTTGTGTCCTTTATAAAGATTATATCTCCGCTACCTGACATTACATTTTATGACACACGTAACCCGGCCCGACAAGGTCTCACTTATGTCAGATCCGGCCCTCGTAACAAATGAGTTCAACATCCCTGCTGTAGGGCACTGTTCTTCCCTCCGCTTTATTAGAAGGGAGATACGGTGGGGTGCGGCTTCCGGAGCGCTCGTGCTTTGCCACTACTTGGGGGGATAGAAACTGCTGTACGCTGCCTCTGCTGCCTCTGGACCTTGGAGAGATATTTGTGTCACCCATCCTCCAGAAAATGGTACGGCTCCCTTCTTCCTGCGGACCTTGAATCCGGAACCTCAGATATAGCGGCCAGAGCCTACTGAAGTACAGCATTGATTTAGAGACCCGTTTTTGGCCCACGCTAGCCTAGGAGGAGGAGGAGGAGATTGGATTTCTACCCCGCCCTTCACTCGGAGTCTCAGAGCGGCTTACAAACCGCTTCCCCTCCCCACAACAGGCACCCTGTGAGGTGGGTGGGGCTGAAAGAGCTCTGACAGAAACTGCCCTTGAGAGAACTTGTGACTGACCCAAGGTCACACCAGCAGCTGCATGTGGAGGAGAGGGGAATCAAACCCGGTTCGCCCAGATTAGAGTCCATTCACTTAACCACTACACCTATTAACAGTATGGAACAAGAACTTTCTATGGTCTGCCCTGAATCTGTTGAGCACATGAAGATACCTTGTACTCAGGCTGGCCTGATCTCAGAAGCTAAGCAAGGTTGACCCAGGTTAGTACATGAGAGCCACTTTGCTATAGCGGTTAGGAGCATGGATTCTAATCTGGGAGAACTGGGTTTGGTTCCCCACTACTCCTCCACACACAGCTGCTGGTGTGACCTTGGGTCAGTCACAAGTTCCCTCAGCGCTGTTCTCTCAGGAGCATCGAGAGAGCTCTCTCAGCCCCATCTCCCGCACAGGGTGTCTCTTGCGGGGAGGGGAAGGGAAAGGAGATTGTCAGCCGCTCTGAGACTCTGAGCAAAGGGCGGGGTATGAATCCAACCTCTTCTTCTTCTCTACTTGAATGAACACGTGAATCAGATCCTTATACTTAATCAGTCCCTCAATCCATCAAGGTCAGTCTTGTCTACTCAGACTGGGAGTGGATCTCCAGGGTCTCAGGCGGAGGTCTTTCCCATCACCTCCTGCCTGGTCCTTTTAACTGGAGATGCCGGGGATTGAACCGGGGACCTTCTGCATGCCAAGCAGAGGCTCTTCCACTGAGCC